TCATGGAGCTTACATTCTGGGGGTAGACAGAAAATAAACCTTTATTCGAAACCCATTCAATGTCCTCTCCTGTGTCTCAAAGGCTGGAAGTCAGGGGATTACCTTCCCCAGGCTCCTTTTCCTGGGGATTTGGGTGAATTTGCATTTTGCTAATGCTCTCACATAAGATTTGGAAGGCAAAGAGGAGTGCTTCAATGGCTGGCTGAAGGCAAAGGGCCATCATGGGGACTTCAGAGCCGGGCAGTGTGACACTGCTGGCCATTTGCTGCAGTATTTTTACCTCTGAGTGGCAGCAGCCAGTTGCTGAGTCCTGGGTTATATCTACAGTGATAGTACTTGAAAGCTAATGGCAGCCACACTAATGGTCACTAATCTAGTTTACCAACAACTTCTGAGCACCTAATCCTGATATCAAATCCTCAAGTTGTTTTTCTTTTTCTTTAGTGAATCCTGTCAGAATATTACATACCAAGACTGGTTCCAGTCCTTCAAAAATGGGAATCTCGTATTGATTGTTAGTTGATGTGGTTGGGTTCATGTACAGAGATGACCTCATTTCAATTTAAAATACAGTTCTAAGGAGACACACAGTGGCTAACAGTTACTTGAATGAACACCTCTGGCTGTCTAAAATTAAGGGTCTATTGAAGATAAGGATTTAGGAGAGCAAGGTGACTATTGCTGTGGAATAGAGAAGAGAATTAAACAGACTGAGGGGTGTGTCGGCTACTTCTGATTACACTACAGTGGAGGCTGTAAGAAAAAAATATGACAAGCTCAGAAACTTGGCAATCTTGGATCAAGCCAGGATCCTCACATCACATTTGAAGCCACCTCATTGATACAGCCCACAGTCAGACCTGTCTGTGGCTGCAGGTTGCAAGTTTATAATGCAAGACGATTTCAAAGCCTTGCTAGGCCTCCTGTGTAGATGTTAAGGACTTCATTGGTAAGAGTGGGCCCTGGGAATTGGGAAAGGGGCATTTTGGAAGACTTGGGTGAATCTTAGTACTCTGAACCCCAAATCCGCCAACAACTTCCTTGCCGGAAGAAGGAAGCCCCTCCTCCTGTCAGCCCTTCCCCTCATTGAGCAGATTATAATGACTCCACCAGCAGCAATTACATCATAGGAGACTACCAATCACTTAAAACCCAAACAGACCATTACTGACTGCATCAAGACCTGGACAGAAACAAAGCCCCGTGAGCATAAAAGTAAGAGAGCCCTTCTGTTTAGAATTTCCATAGAAGTTTGCTTTGAAGAGACTAACGTAAGAAGGTAGAAGAAGAGACCCCCTTATGGGGTTGCCCAGGTGCTCATGTCATAGGATGAACCTCAGGTAAGACCCTGATCCTTTTGATCGACCAACAACATGGCAAAATTTTCCCATAGTCTTAACACAATTACATAAAAGATAAATGATAGAAATATAAATAATTATTTGCTGATTTCAAATAGGTGCTATGACTCTTATTTTACAAATATAATGGAACCTAGTGATGCAGGATTTGGGATAGAGCTGAACTGAAATGACTCTGCAATTTCTTGCTGTTCTTTGGCTCTTTCTGTTAATGCAGAGAGCTGCCATAATGTATGAGACTAGGATCCTGCATAAACCAAGAGAACATAAAGAGAAGGCAGATGAGAAGGACAGGTCTTGCACTTGGTGGAGTAGTGAATTATTGGGTTGCTGCCCTGGCTGCTGTCTCTCAGCCTGAGATGGCCCATGATTACATTTTACTGCTCTCGGAAGCTGGTGTCCTCACCCTGTTAGCCTTTTGCAAAGTGAAGTAGAGACTGATTTTGCCAACTTCAGAAACATCAAAAGAATAGTAAATATAATCATAACTATAATAATATGTTAATTATATTGCATTTAGTGAGCACATGACAGGCACTGGTAGGTATGAAGTGCTTTTCAAGTATTCACTCACTTAGTCCCTCAACAGCCCTATGAGTGAGATAGGTTGTTATAATCCTGAATTATAGGTTTATAAAATCTGAATTTGTGAGAGGTTAAATTTCTAGCTTAAAATCATGCTGATAGTTAATGATGGAGATGGGACTCAAGCCTGGGCCTCTCTGGCTTTAAAACCCAAGACATTAACCACTGTTCTTTTCTGACTTTCTTTTGCCACACATGAGGCCTTGAGTCCTGTTTGTTTTGTCTATTATGCATCTCTCCAATCCAACCACTTTTCTCAGCACCACCACTCCAATAACGAACGCTATGATCTTTCTAAAGGATGACTGTAGCAGCCTTGTAACTGGTCTACTTTTACCCATTTTAACCCCATTTCTAATCTGTTATCTGCATTAGAGCCAAAGAGAAATTTTAAAAGTATAAATCTTATTATGCTGCATACTTTAATGACTTCACGTAAAGACCCATCTCTCCACACCAATTTTTAAGGCCCACATGGTCTGCCCTTTACTCCATTTTTGGTCTCATGGAGTCCATTGTTCCCTGTAGGTCCTGTCCCCTCCTTGCTTTCTCTTCTCCCATCTTCCTCATCTCCTCGAATGCACATGCACTTTTCTCTCATAGACCCTTTGCACATGCCGCTCCCTCTGTCTGGAGTGCGCTTCCATGGCTAGAGCCATGCTTTCTGAAGATCACAGTTTAAATGTCACTTCCTTAGCCGAGTCTTTCTAATCTCTAAGTTAGTTCCCTTTGTTGAAAGGTGTCATAACAACATTTGCCTTTTCTCGGAGGTTGGTGTTTATAGTTATTCGTGTGGTTCTCCGATGAATGTCTGCCTTCTTGATCATACTGTAAGCTCTTTGAAGGCAGGAACAGGTCAGGTTTTTGCTTACCACTGTAGTCCCAAGGCTTAGGGTAGTATTTGATATATGGTAGCTTTTCAAACAATAGTTGTTAAAAAAAAAAAAAAGGAAGGTACAACACACTTCCCTGGGGTGTTTGAAAAGGACAACCTTTTCTAAAAGTCTATAATGTGCTTAGTCCTTCTGTGGAGGACAAAGTTGGCTGAGAGGGGAAGTCCAGTTCATCGGGCAGCCAAGGCCAGCCACAGCGCCCTAGACCCTACCTGTCTGAGCCTGGGAGAACAGCGGCTAGGTCTAGTTAAGGAGTTTCCATTGGTGGGAGCAATGCTTCAGGTTTACAACTTAAGTGGCTCACTTCTCAGGTAAGCAACTTAAGGAAGCAAATGCTTAACACATAACGCATACCTCCCTCCCCTACCCCCAGAAGCCTTCAGGGTGAATTGGTTATCCAAAGGGAAGGATTAAGTGGGAGAACTGAGCCAAATTCTTTTCTCCTGAGTGATAGGTCTAGAAGTTTAGATACCAGGCTGGTATCTACCCAGGCACAGGGTGCTATTTAGAATGACTCCCAAGGAGCTCTGGGTATCTATAATGAGAGTCGCCTGGGCAGAGGCTGAGGTACAATATACATTGAGACTGATACCAAACACTGCCCTCTCCTTTGCAATTAGAGATCAATTCTTTGGGCTCTAAAGGAAAGAGAGTTTACCAGATTCGTTTACTAGATTCACTTTAGAGTCAGTCATGTTACTTAACTATGGAAATAGTTATTGTGTGAACTTCACAGAGGGAACTTACACAAACTTAGATGGTATAGCCTACTATATACCTAGGCTATATGCTATAGCTTACTGCTTTTAACTACACACAGATATTGCTTGGTACTGTATAAAACAGCCACAACAAAAATAAATCAAGGACAGGAGAAAATGATGTGATCAAGAAAAGGGGTAAACACGAGATGTATGAGGCTGCTGCCAGCACAGCACGGCACGCTGTTTTACAGCAAACTTTTCTCGATAAGCAAAAGAATACACTAAAATAATGATAAAAAGTATAGTAAATACATAAACCAGTAATAGTCCTTTTTTGTTACTATAAAGTATAATATACTGTAGGCAGTTGGATGTGCTAGTTATGGGACTGGTGGGACAGTATGTTTGTTTACAGCAGCATCACCATAAACATGTAACCCATTGCATTATGACATTTTAAAAAACATGTTATTGATTCTAGAGAGAGAGAGGAAGGGAGAGGGAAAGAGAAGGAGAGAAACATAGATCAGGTTGCCTCCCCAACCTGGGATGGAACCGAAACCTGGACATGTGGCCTGACTGGGAATTGAACTAGTGACCTTTTGGTGCACAGGACAATGCTCAACCACTGAGCCACCCGGCCAGGCAGGGCTGCGTTACAACATAGGGCTACCAGGTCACTACCCTTAGGAATTTTCAGCTCCACTATAATCTTATAGGACCACAGTGTAGATGCAGTCCGTTGTTGACAAAACCGTCATCATATAGCACATGACTATTATTATTTTTAAAGAATCCAAAGAAAAAATTTGAAGAAAATGCAAAGCTAAAGACTGGACTGTTGGCACTGAGTGAGGGGAAAGAGAAACTTTTGCTTTGTAAGCCAGCCCCTCCACTCAGCAAAGTTAGAGAATAAGAACTGTTTTTGTTCAGATTGAAAATCCGAGGGGGTAATTATTATGCTTAAGATTCTTGCAACATAGCTTCAATTATTTTAGCTGCCCTCCTCCCGCTGCCCTTGGACTTCATTGTCCGTGAAGAGAGACTGTGTTTGACTTTGCTTGGAAACCATAAAACCACAACAAAATCATTCTCCTGAGTGCTACTAGGCAACACCAACACGGGGATCTCTCCCGCACCAGGAGAAGGCCTTGTCCGGAAAGACTCACACAGGCTCAAATGGTGCATCCGAGGGAACTGGAGGCAACTCTTCGGCATCATCTTAATAAACACTCAGCAGTAAATCCGATGAAATGCCCAGTGCCTTCTCCAGAGAGCGAAGCTGGATAAACAACAATGGCAAAACCCTGCAAAGCCCGGCCAGTCTCCGTGGTGTTACAGGCTGCTGAACTGACAGTCAAAAGGTCAGCTGCTACTATCTTTCTGAAAAGTCCATTGAATGGGAGCCCGGAATGTTCTTATTGAACTGCATCACTTCCTTCCTGGGACCATCGGGGCACTTCCCCAGCCTTTCAAGATAGGTTCTGCTCCAAAAAGGTCAACCTGGAGGTGGAAACCCCAGGCCGAAGTTAGGGGCCCGTGCACACATAGTCTTGCTGGGGCTCTAGGCCATTTCTTCCCTCCTAGACCCCCAGGAGGTGAAAGGCTCACCGAGAGGGTGGGTCACAGGCCTGACTTTGCTGCAGAGAAAAGCCCGAGGCCCTGCATCTCCGGGAGGGAGGTAAGGGACGCCTGTCAGACAGCCTCCCGGTCCCCTGTCCAGGGACCAGCGCAACCTGGAGCCTGGCTTGGAGCCAGGAGGGGTGTGGCGACTCCGGGTAGTGCTGGGACCCCGCCTGGGAACTGCACCAACACCCGACCTGCCCCTCGGAAAGGAGCATTCGCTCTGGGAGCAGC